TGGCTCCAGGCAAAACATTACTAACAGATGGGACAATTATTAATTGTATGGTTTCCCTGACAGAAGTTTTGCTTTACTTCATTTTTTAATTTCAGCATTAAAAGGTCATATTAGACTGGCTTTTTTAGAGACAACTTCACTACAAAGCAGATAAAAGAAAGAGGAAGATGTTTGGTTCATAGAGACAAATGAGAATGTTGAGTTCTGATTTCTGTTACATGGGCTGGAAATATGCTTCTGTGAACCATAAATTTGATTAAATCATGTCCATCCAAGAAGTATACTCCAGTTTTGTTGTTTGGGGGGTTTTTTGGGGGGTCTTCCAGATTATTTTCTTCACAAGACTCTGTGAAACACTAAAAACCCTGCTCAGTCATAAGTGCTTTTGTCCTAGCGACAGTAATCATGCAGAAATCTCCAATGTCTTACCAGAATCTGAGCATCCCCTCTAGCAAAATGCTCATTACGGATTCATGTGCAAGAGAGAAATACTAACCAGATATTCACGGATGTCAAAAATCCTTCATTCAGAGAGCTGATATAGGTATTTACACAGAACCTTCATGATTACAGTGTACAACAGTCAAGTGGATTTGGAGAGCTTTCTTTTGGTATTGAACAAATAGATGTTCACTCATAAACATCACAAGGTACTTTCTGGCTAGTCAGGGGAACCTGTAAACTTAATTGTTATCACTGAGTGTCAAATCTAATTAAGATTGAAGGAAGCAAAGTATATAAACTTAACTGCATACTGACTTTTTCCTATGGTACTTCTTTTGTAATATGTATTTCTGTAATCCTATTAACCTAAGCCTGCAAAATACTTCAAAATACGTACAGAAGAAAATACAACACAGAAAAGAACCTACAAAAATCTGGTCTTCCGTGAAAGTCATCCTGTTTTGAATAAAATCAGAATCCAGCAAAAAGAAGCCTATCATAATGTTCAAGATCCAGGCACTTAAATGCTTTATTTTACACCAATCATAATCATCAGACACATAAGTAAATTCCATATGTGAAAACTAAGGAAAAAAATTGCCTAATGTGTGGCAATCTCGATCTTACAGCTAAAACTATCACATAAAAATTAAAGGAAAACAAAACCCTTAAGAAAGCTACTACCACAAAGTTTAAATATAAAATCTCAGTCTAATTTTAGCTATGGATGTATTCCCAAATCTAAGATTTATGATAAAAATGTGAAGAGATCATTAAGTGTAGCGTCATGCTCTGGTGATCTGCTGTGCACATTAAGCTGACCATCCATAGGCATGTATTTGATACATTTAATTCATAGGCTTTTATTGAACAAGATGACGACAGTAACTTAGCTAGGAGGAAAAAAGATCGTTCAGACAAATGGGGCAATTACATGGTAACTTCACCCAATCAAAACTAATAGTAATAAAAGATGTAGTTACAGATTTTCAACCACCCTTCTCCTTAAATCAGCCTGATCAGTTACTCCCAGTAAATATGCCTGAGCAGGTCTCAACTCATTAGATTTCACAGAGTCTGCTCTGCTCAGTTTTTAGCTGATGAAGTTACTAGGAGTGGGCGAAGGGATCCAGGACACAGCAAAAAGGATTTATTCTTCTTGGCACACTGTTTGCCAGTCTGAAATGCTGGATTTAGCTGTCTGACTCAGGGCAATTATGAAGTACTCTTTCCAGTTCAGCTGTTGCCTCCCACATCTTCATCACCCCAAGATTCAAAGACAAAATTTGACTGACAGGGTACAATAACTTGCAAAAAAGTTTACCAGCATCATGAAAGTGGAAAAGGAAAATCTCTTATGGTCAACCAAGTGGAAATCTGAGTCACCTGAGATGGATACCACTTAACTCAATGGTGTCAGAATCCACCTTTACCTAACTTGGAAACTCTGTGAAGTGTGGCTGAGAGGTCCACATTCTACTATACCTTAATCCTTCCCTCTATTTTCTTTTATAGGCTGTTAGAAGGCTTCGTCTCAAAAACCCTGAGTGCTACTGCATCAAAAGCAAAATAAAAAGACTGTTGTCCTTCAAGGGTAGCCTTTTGAATAAACAGTTACTACCAAACTGTTGCTACTTGAGATGCTAACATCTGTTATGCTTACAGAGTATGCCTGTGTCTAAGTATATATTAAACCTACATATATATAATCTTGTAATTTTTACATGCATCTAGTATGCCTGGTTTGACTGAATTGTTATGCTACTGACATTCTCTTATACCTGACAGAATGCCCTAATTTCCCCATTAAGGGCTCTGTTAATAATGAACATTATACATGATACAAAATTTTAAAAAATCTAAGCCATACAAACAATCTGTGAGCAGATTCTACCAGGATTTATACAGTATTTTTTATTTTGAGATGAAAAAAGAATGTAAGTAAATACTTTTATTTCCTGACAACCTGCTAGTTGCAGAATATCAGACTAGTTCTATGTACTGGTACAGAAGGACCATAAGGCAAACACTTTTCACAAAACTTTTGAGTTACACTGATGAACAGCATCTTGCCATGTTCTATCTTCTCCTTCCAAACTGTGCCAACACTCGCTTTGGAGATAAAAATCACAAAGGATGAAGAATTTACTTCAAGACAGAGACAAGGTGAATGGGAAATTAAAACTACTGCCCAAACTGGCAATGAAGTAACTTCTGAAAAATCATCCTTACTTTCCAGCACATTTATTCCAAGAAAAAGTAGCTATGTACAAATTTGCTCTGATAACAGAATAAAACAAAAAGAAATAGCCTCCAAACAGTAAGCAGGGGAAAAAAAAAAAAACAAAAAAGAGAAAAGAAAAAAACAGAACACATAGCCAAACAAAATGCTGAAAGAAAAGGATGTTAAAAAAAGCACTCAACAACTATTTTTACTAATCTTGCAACAGCGAAACTAGTAATACTGTAAAATGGGAGAAAACAGATTGCATATGGAAAACTTGTTTTTCTGTGCACTGTGGAGGCCTGCCAATCCTCTCCTTTCCCAGCCAACCATGAATTTTGGCCATCAGTCTAAATTCTTTATACAAATTCCGGGCACTGGTACATTAATGCTGAATTTTCCAAGATGGTTATATGCATTTAAAAATTAATTTCAGCTTTCTAAAATTTGCCAGTAATCCATTCTGCCCCCACAGCAACTCATCCTGATGTAATTTATCTAATTTTTTAGATCAGGCTTCTCATCATGTATCTTATGTATCTAAGCATACTTCTTACTCCAGTTACTGCTGAAAAAGCATAAATGCATTTTGTGCTTTAAATTTGTTGAGGAGTGGAACTCCCACTAGAGACATATTAGTGTACTGTTAAAACACAGACATTTGACATGGCTCTGTAAAAGAACCTGAATGAGTCATCAAAAAGAAAATTACAA